ATGATCTCCCTGCTCTCCAGGCCAGCTTGGGAGAGCTGTGTGGACTAACGTTAACTGATTTTGATGCTCCTCAGTCTAAGGCCGTTGCAGTGAAAAGTCCAGCGTTCACTTTAGCTGGGCGTAACTTAGCTGGGAGATGTCCATCGATAGCTGCTTCCGTGAGAAGAGAACAGAAGGAAAGGAGGGGGGGTTATCACTGTCCGAGGGCTCCCGTAGATGGCAACAAGGATGTCAGCCGACCAACACTTGCTACCTGGTCCCTGGTTGCGGTGATTTGCGATGCTGGCCAGCTAGGAATTAACTAGCAGCCAGTACAGTACAGTCCTCTCTCATCTAGCTAACATTTAGCCGTGTTACTTACTGATCCATTAGAAAGAAAGCTAGCTGGACATCGGTTTTGAAGCCTCTTTGGTCATGGAGCTCCCTCCATCTCTTGAACGCCTGACCGAGGTTTACTCTTGTTTTTCCTCTTCTTTTATCACTCTCCTTTTTGCTCTTCTTTGCCTCTTCAGACAGGGGAGCTCGTTTTCTTTTGCTAGGCCGTGTTTCACTTGTCTCCAAACTTTGTCTGTCTGCCATTGTGTTCGTGACTCAACTATCTCATGCCCAGCTCCTCATAAGGACCAGCTCCAGTCCCTGATTGGCTGACCAACCAGTTTCGCAATACATGACGCCTTTCCTGCCATAAAGCAGATTTTTTCCGCAAAATTTCGGCACCGGTGGCAGAAGCTTATTACAAAGATTGCAAAGCCAATAAGTAACCTATGTAAACGCTGATAGTCTGAATTTACTGTGGCCACTACCCTGTGCAACCCACGTTATTTTCATAATGATATATTTAGGAAAAAATGTTGTCTGTTGCCTCTTTAACTGGAGTTTCCAAGTTTCCACTCCAGCTTCCTCCTGTACCTCTCCTTAGCCTCCCTGATCTTCATCTTCAGCTCCTCCCTGTTACCAGCTCTGAAGGCCCTCTTCTTTGCGTTGAGGATGGCTTTGATGTCCTTTGTTACCCAAGGTTTGTTATTTGGATAACAATGGACAGTAATGGCTGGGACAGTGGAGTCCACACAGAAACTGATGTAGTCCGTGATGCATTCTGTGAGCCCGTCGATGTCCTCCCCATGTGGCTCACAGAGTGCCTGCCAGTCTGTCACCCCAAAACAGCCCTGCAGTGTCTCATAAGACTCCTCCGACCATCTCCTCACTGTCCTCATGGTCGCAGGCTGGCTCTTGACTAGTGGTAAATAGCAGGGGTTGAGGTGCACCAGATTGTGGTCTGACCTACCCAGAGGGGGGAGGGGCAGCAGCTGTATGCATCTTTGGCGTTTGCATACAGCAAGTCCAGTGTACTCTCATATCTGGTAGGACAGATCACATACTGTGTAAATGTGGGCAATGTTATTGCCATGGTGACATGGTTGAAGTCACCCGAGATAGCTATGAAGGCACTCGGGTGTTTAGTCTGCAGGCGAGCTATGGCGGAGTGAATGACGTCACATGCCGATGTCTGGTTGGTCTTCTCCATAAGCCTCCGTTGTCTCAACCCTGCTTTTTTCCTCCGCTGTTTAATTCCTCCCCTGCATCCTCTGTGTGTTTTCCTCCACATTTCAGCTGGGATCTCTGATGTTCCGGCCGCCATGCCAGATCTGCTGATCTCTGGAGTAAACAATGTGGCCAGGAAGTTGTTGCGCGATAGTGCCGGGTCCGAATGAAAGAAGTAATTCCCGAGTGAGGAAACAGAGCACAAGTCTCTCAATCAGTATGTCTGTAGAGGGCGCAGCTTCAAAATGTCAGTCATAAAAAAACAAGCACAATTATAACTGCTGCGCAGCGATGGGTCGGGTCCGGGCATTTTTAGGCAATTCTGACCAATAAGCAGAAGAATTGGAAGACATTTAGGAATTTAGCAACACAATCTGCCTTTTGCATCAGCTGAGGCTTGAACTCACAACCTCTGAGACTAAGAATCAATTTCTATCTCACTGAGCTAATTAGTCAGTGACAATTCATGTGTAGCTTCACAAATTGACTAAGCCAGATGTGCAGGTTTAGTAGCCGTCCATGCATGGAATTTATTTTAACAATGATTGATTTGCTCCATAAGTGGAAAAACTGATGTTTAACTAGTTGAGCTATGTGCAAAGTGAGAAGCTTCAGATGGTTTCACACTGAAGTACTGACACTGGGTCTTTGTGCAAAGTTTGGTTTATTTTCAAGCATGAGAAGGCAGATTTTCTAGCAGAAAAAAGACTTGAAGATGCTGCACAGTGATCAGTCACACTCAGGCAATTTTAAGCAATAAGCTGGAGCACAAGAAGAAGAATGTTTACATTACAATGTGGATTCTGCACCAGTTGAGGCTTGAATCCGCAACCTCTACCTCTCTGAGCTAATTGGCAAGTAGCAACTCAACAGTGGCTTCACAAATTGAGTAAGCCATTCACTGTTATGAAGGAAAGCAGCCATCTGTGCATGGAAAGGCAGATTTGAAACCACTGTAAAAAATTCAGTTATTAAGACAAAAATCTGAAAATACACATATTGCATCTAGACAGCATGGAAATGTTGGTAATTTGTTTGTAACAATGATTGATTTGCTCCATAAGTGAAAAACTATTTTTTAATATTGCCATTTTAACATTGACTCCAATTGTTCACATTAGAGCAAAATTCAAAATGCTGTCAAAAATTCAGTTTTTGAGATAAAATTCTGAAATTTGCCACACATCATCTACCATGACTCTAGAATTTTGTCATTTTTTTCATGAACATTGAAGATTTATTTAGCAAGAATTTGCATGTATATGTTTACGTAACCGTTTACAGTCAAACATTTTGATGCACTGTAGGCTCAATTTTTGAAAAATCAAAAATCTGAGAAACATAGTTTGTGTAGGACACTCTGAAGATGCTCTGTAGCAGGTTTGGTGTCAATTGAGCAGAAGTTTTAGAGTTTTTGAAAAAAACAGTGATGAACTTCATAATTTTTAATAGGTTTAAGTGTACAAATGTTTCTTCAGTATCAGGGCTACAGTTTGATGAAAGTTGTGAAGTTGTAGCACGTATGGTTGATTTGTTATGAATTTTCAAAGTTTAGAACTTTAGACGCTTGCTGTAGCGCCACCATCAGGACTATTGGCTTGAGTTTACAGCTGAGGATATCTGGCATGAGACTAGACCTTTGTGCAAAGTTTGGTGAGTTTTCACCCATGGGAAGTATGATTTGTATGATTTCCTCGGAAGAAGAAGAAGAACTAGGATTAAAATAGTGTCCTGGCAGCTTAGCTGCCCAGACCCGAAATACCTAACTTAGTAAATCAAAAAAGTAGGAAAACTAAGAAAACAAGCAGGAGCGACTGCAACAGGCTGCACGTGCTGGAGCATGCACACTGAGTAAAGTGCAACCCCAACCCCTTTGTCAGCCATGGTTTTCCCCTCTTTTTAGAATTTTGTCCAGTTTCTTTCAACAGACAATGTCGTTCATAAAGCATCAAAAATATATCTAAAAATGCCTCATATGAGTTTTTAATGTCCTTTACCTGCCAATCATGATTTATAAGATCTGCTTTAAGAGTCATAATTGCTTCTGGTGATTTTTTCTAACTAAGTTATGAGTCTGCCCATTCGTACTTAAAGGATAACTTCGGTGTTTTTCAACCTGGGCCCTATTTTCCCATGTGTATGTGTGCATATGATTCATAGGTACAACTCGTTCTAAAATTGGTTTAGTATTGAGGGAGGTGGATGCAGCTGTCAGCCGCGAAACGAGCTAAAGCGGTAACGGGGGCAAATGCGTCCCGTATAAGTTTGTGCATTAAAAGTGCTTTTTTTTGCCACTGACTGGTTCAGATCGCCAGTGCTATGTCTGTAGATAGCATACTAAGCGTTTCCCTTACCCTTCACTTCTCTGGGCTGTGTGACGTCATCTCGCGAGAGCTTTGCTTGTTGCCGGAAGAAAACAGAGGAGCCATGCTGAGCGCCGCTCAGAGTAGCGCTGGTTGTCCCAGAGTACAGTTGAGAGTTTTACTGCATCGATTGAAAACAATGGTTCATGTTTGTGCTTATCCAAATTGCAAGAACAGGATGTAGAGCAACACACCATACAGCTTTCAAAGGCTGCCTTTGTAAGACGACGAGATGCTGAAGTTGTGGCTAGTTGTGCTACAAATGGATGCTAACACTCCTGTCCAGACACTGCACCTTGCAGACCATCGGGTCTGCTTCGTACTTCTGCTTCTTCTTTGTTGTTCTTCTTCTTTGTTTGTTTCTTTGCCGCGTCGCCCCGGTCAAAATGGTCGCGCAACGATTATGTCACGTCCAGAGCCCGGTAACTTTACAGGAACTTTCCTCCTACTCCACCCTCTCAGTGGAGACATGGCGGTTGAGAGGGCCGAGCGAGAGGATGTTCCTGTAAAGTTCTTGCCCCCCCCAAATAGTACCAGGAACTTCTTCAGTGGAAATGGGCCTATTGAGGCTGAAAACCAAATCAATACCAAAACATTTCTTATTAATATTATCCTTTATTGAAACATTAGTGTTTCCCCTACTGTTATATTAGGCAGGCCCCTAAATTATATTACGTAGAAAATCAGACTTGTTTTCAAGCACATCAGTTTATCCAAAGTTCCTAAGAAGTCAAACCACAGCACGTATCATATTCATTGATTTTACATAGAAGACTGCAGTTACTGCCAAGTTAGAGCTCAGACCTTCATTGCATTTTAGGTGTTCCAACCCAAATATGTACCACTGCTAAAACAAATTATAATATACACACACAGTGCAATTACATTTTTTTTAATGTGTGTTTTATTTATTGACTTAAATGATATGGCAATCTCTCAGTGCGACTGAGGTCCAAATTGGCCCAAATGATGCTGACTGCAGGGAAGATCATAGGAGTAAGACAGCTCTCCTCTCTACACCAGGGGTGAAACCCCAAGCCAAATTTCCCTTGTGGACAATAAAGTTTACCTTGACCTTGACTTGATATTTTTCAGGTATAGTGCCAAACCCCATGGTTCAGCAGCCATCCATGACAGGAGGATTAGATACTGCGTCTCCCATCACATTCCCAGAGGAGCAGGAAGATCCTAGAGTGCCTGGACACACCAATGCTGGTGGTGGCATCTGGGGCTTTTTTAAGGTAATATTACTCTATAATCACAAAAACTCTGTCTGTGTGTGGTTGTGTCTGTGTGTGTTCTACATTTTTCTCCTCACTGACTTGGTCAATCCATATGAAATTTGGCACAGTGGTAGAGGGTCATGGGAGGATGCGAATGAAGCAATATTACATCAAGTGGCCAAAGGGGGGCGCTATAGCAACCGATTGAAATTGTAAACTGAGAACAGAGAACCCATAACTTCCGCTTATATAGATTTTCCACCATTTTGAATTTTTTGAAAAACACTTCAAATGGATCTCTTCCTAGGAAGTTTGACCGATCTGCATGAAACTTGGTGAACATAATCTAGGGACCAATATTTAACGTTCCCTCTTGGCAAAAGTTGGAAAACTTACTAAAACTGAGCTTCTATAAGGCAATGAATATTGCAGAGGGCGTGGCTCATCACATAAAGGTGTATAACATCTCAAGGGTTTCACCCATCACCACGCAACTTTGTAGGCATATGACCACACATAATCTGAGGGGACCCCTCCATTATTGACCCCATCAAACAAAATGGGGGCGCTAGAGAGCTCATTTCTTATCTAGGCCTAACCACCATATGGATTTTTACTATAGAACAGGACGCCTCAAGGTGACTGGAGAAATCTAACTCTAATTGTCACCTGGGTGGCGCTATAACAACAGAAAAATGCTTAAAAAATGGCTAAAATCCGACCGATCGCTGTGGCTCCCACCAATGTTGGACCAATGTTTTTTTTTTTTTCTTTTTTTTTTTTTCAAATTTTTGGTATGACTAAGTCATGGTATGGTATGCTGTACATAATCACGGAAACTGTTGGTGTGTCATTCTGTCAGTCAGTCGTTCTGTCTGTCCCACGTTTTTCTACTCACTGACGTGGTCAATCTATGTGAAACTGCGCATAGGCATTGAGGACTGGCATAGGTAGAAGGTGACAAAGCTACCAATGGGTATGGACTAGTAATATAATATTTGACAAGTCCTTTTCAGACATGTAATACATAACATTGCTGACTTCAGACGAGCTGTAGGATTGTTAAGTATACATCCATACTATTTACACAACTGCTTTGTTTAATAGGGATGTAATGATCAATCAATCTGGATCGATATATATCGATTCAATGATCCAATATAATCAATGCAAAAAATTGATGAAAACATCAATCCATGTCATTATCTTTAGGATATGCCTTTATTTTTAAATTCTGCGTCACCATCAAACAGCAGCAGGCAGACAACAAGCAGCCGATAAAAAGAGGATTAAGTTATTAAATTAGGAATAAAAAAAGCAGTGTGGAAATATTTTCAATTGCGGAGAAAATTTGGGTCAACAGACAGCACATGCCGTATTTAAACAATGCCGTCATGAGATAAAACAGGACGTAACATTACCTCCCTGGATGGCCATCTCACTCTGCTAACTTCTCACTGCAGCAACATTAGCTGCTCTGTTTCAATGATGTTCAGCTGAAAAAACATGCACGCGGGCTGGAATTCAACCGTGTTGTTCTGTCAGGAGATGCAGTGACTTAAACCAGCGGTAAGAAATATAATAAGGTTACATAAACCATGCTCTGTTATGTGACCTTTATGGTAATAAGAAATGAACCTGTTAGACATGTAAACGGTAGCTGAAATATGATTGAGTTTCTCTATAGTCGTTTGGTGGTTGATGTGATTTCAGATTGATACGCAAACTGTGAAAATGTGATTAATCTGTATGAATGTGTCCAAGTTGATCTTAGCAGTAATATGACATTTTCTGACAGGCAAACCCTGCGCAGTGCTCTGTCATGTCCTATGTTTTGTCTGTGTCTTCAGGGAGTAGCAGGTAACCCTGTAGTAAAGACAGTCCTGGACAAAACCAAGCATTCTGTTGAGTCCATGATCACCACTCTGGATCCTGGCATGGCTCCATATATCAGTAAGTCAAGCAGCTCTCTCCTTATCACAACATTACCCCATAATGAAAAAAGCTGACTAAACATTCACATGTCCTCCATTAATGTTCATGTATCGTTACTCACCAGAATCTGGTGGGGACATTGATATTGTGGTCACTTCAGATAAGGAAATAAATGTGGAGGCAGTCAGAGACGCCTTTCAGGAAGTTTTTGGGATGGCCATGGTCACTGGAGAGCCCGGTCAGTCTAACATTGCCCCCCAGCCTGTGGGCTATGCAGCGGGTCTCAAGGTCAGTTAACTGCTGCTTCTCTTACCTGCTTATTGATTTAAAAAAGGTCTGTGTCAAAGAAACAGAGAACACAGAGCTACTGTAGTAGCTAGATTGATAAGGTTCATACTCAAGCCAAGCCAAGCCACCGTGCCTTTCATACTCAAACAGAAATGTATACAAAAGTGTGTGCCAGATACATAGAACACATAAACACACACTAATACTCACTGTATGACATTAACATAAAACAATGAATGCACATTACTTATCGCTGATTATTATTAAAAAAAACAACAACAAAAAATAGCTCATAGAAAGACTGCATGCTCTTACTTTCACATGCGGAAATGACGTCATCAGCTGGGTGATCACGTGCCATAAGAGTGCATTTTTGTTTGGACCGGCGGAAAGTTTGTCTCAAAACTGTGTGTGTGTAACAAGCAAATCCACATGCATAGAACTGAGATCCACAAATGTTTTTTCGATTCACAAATAAAAACTGAGTTCACAAATGCCTGTTCGAAAGTTGTAAATGTTAGGAAGATATTCACAAATGCTTTTCATTTATTTGCAAATTAATTTTATGTATTCACAGATATTTTTTGTATTTGTGGAATGTGTGTTTTACATTTACAGATTACACATTTAAACACAGATTGTTGATATGGTTCACACACATGATTATGAAATGTGTGCAGATCAAGAAATATTTGTAGATCACCCTCTGTGCATTTACAGGTATTAATGAGACAAATCTAACTCCATAATCCATGGATATAAGGCTTTTGAATCTGCGACATACGGTGTGGGAGTTACATGCCAAAACGCGTTGGCCTTGATTGTAGCACCCCCTGCAGGTGCACATATGCACATTTTTGCGTCTGAGGTCCGGTGTAGCCTCCAGCACCACTTTTACTTACGGAAAAATAATAGCACACTCAGGACACTCCCCTGGAAAAAAATCAAATTCAACAATAGCTCGTCCCCAAGGCCTTCACAGATCTAAACAAAACTCAAAAACGGCAGTGACGTGTAAATGTATCTGTGTTATACTGTATGTTATGTGTTGAGAATCCATGTGTGTCTGGCAAATGTATGTTGTATCTGCGGGGTATGTGTATATGTCAGGTTGGCACTCAAGATGTATGGAAGCGTGAAGAAAATTTTCCCTAATAGGACAAATAAACTAATCTAAGAAGATGTATAATAATAATAACAATAAAAATCTGAACAAACACAAACTCTGCTTTGTTCTGGTGGTGGGTTAGCCAAAGTTGCCCACGGGTTACATCTGTAACAGGAAACCGATGGAGTTGGTTTTTATTCCCACAGCAGGGGAAATCACATCATTTTGGCATTCTTCTTTTTACCTACAGCAGCTGACAAAGGTGTGTCGTGAGCCTGAGCCGGTGTTCGCGCTGTAGTAGTAGTAGGTATATATAGGGCTAGTACATCTTTTTCCTCACTAATAATAGCCTACTGGTTCTCTGTTGGAAACAGCTGATGAAGTTTTCGTTAGCCGTTGCTATCCTGCGCGCCTGCACGGCGTGGTGATGAACTGTCTAATTGATTTCTGTTGGCGTGCTGTCTTGCAGGCCTGCACGGCGGAGTGATACTGGTCAGAAAATAGTCCCAATTGATAGCAAGGTCTGACGTAATGCGGGGATGTTTTAAAATTATTGAAATAGTCTAACAAAACACATGCATACTTTTTTGTAGCTTAAAACCTTTTGGTTACGTGTCCCCCTTATATCTTCAGAACTAATTTTTCTCCGGTAAGCTACGGCCCATTTCTCAGAGCAGGAGGCTCGTTGACAGTAGTGACACTGTCACATCAGAGCTGCAGATGGTCAGCATTTCACACAGCTTCATGTCCAAAAACCCGAACTATCCCTTTAACTGGGTTCACTACTGCTTCTAGAATATCTAGGTAACAATACTGTGAGAACTGTCTTAATGTCTTTAATAGTTGTCAATAAGTCTATATACTAACAGCAACAGCAACGACATCACATTTAATCCTCTTTGAACTAGGGTAATAAACAAGGAGTGGCCCTTTAAAACTTCAAACTAGAATTGGGCCTGTGTAAACCAAGACATCAGACAAGACTGATACTTTCCTATAAATAAGAGCCCAGAACAGTAAAGTTATGGAGTGGGTCGCAGAACATTAAAGAAGGCAATAAGGGAAACATAAGTAAATAAAAGGTTAAGTTAGTAAATAAAATGTAGGTAATTGAGTAGGGTAAAAAAAAAAAAAAAAAA